GTTCACGCATAGATGAACATAGCCGATGGACAAAGTTTGAGGGATCTACAGCGTCGATGTCGGTCGGTTGAACGAGATCAGCCGGGAGCTTTAACGTGCTACCATATACCAGCTCCGCGGTGGAGCAACCTAAATCAGCTTTAGGTGTTGTTCGAAGACCTAATAAAACCAGCGGTAAGGTTTCTGTCCAACGGGTAATGTCGGAACATGCCATCAAAGCTGTTTTGAGATGACGGTGGAAACGTTCGACTAACCCGTTCGATGATGGGTGGTACGCAGTTGTTCTTATACGTTTGGTTCCAAGAGTATTGGTTAACTCTCAAAAAAGCGTCGACTCAAATTGCGCACCACCGTTGAAGATCACTGGTCGCATACTCGTCAAGCGTTGCTGTTAGCAGGCATGTCTTCATGTGGCAAAACAAATTGCAAAACCGGACATTGGGTCTCTACACAGTCTCTCGAACTTATGGATGCTCGCCGACGTATTCCGGCTGGAAGCGAATACAATGAATCTCGCAAAAATCTCAGGGCGAAACTACGTGCTAGCCTAAAGAAGGACCGCGAAACCTGGTGGTCTCATCGTGCCTTTGAGATGGAAACTGCCGCTGCCATTGGTAATCATCGTGAGTTATACCGTCTGATACGGGCAACAGGCAGCAGAAGACCTGATGTTAGCGAGACCATACGCGACGAGAGTGGGCAGATGATCCACAGCCTGTCAAAACGCTTGGAGCGTTGGGCTGAACACTTTGCTATGCAATTTAACCAACCTGAGTTATCGTTTTCTTCTTCGGGCATTGAGCGCCATTCTCCTTGGGCCGTCTCCTTGGATCCGCCCTCACGCGCAGAAGTCGAATGTGAGATCAAGCTGTTGAAATTGCATAAGGCCGCAGGAGCAGATACGATTCCTCCAGCCCTCTTCAAATTCGGTGGACCTACTCTAGTAGATGATCTACACGAGTTGCTAGTAAAACTTTGGGAGCAGGAGACAGTCCCGACAGACTGGAACCGCTCCGTCATTGTCCCAATTTTCAAGGGAGGCTCCCGTTTAGAATGTGGCAATCATAGAGGGATCAGTCTGATTTCGATTGCCTCTAAATTGCTTGCCTCTCTCATTCTCCACAGACTGAGTGGCACTCGTGAAAGCCAGATTCGTGAAGAGCAAGCCGGATTTCGTCGAGGTCGGGGCTGCATCGACCACATCTTCACATTGCGTCAAGTGTTGGAGCACCGCCATGTTTATTGGCGACCCACCGTTGTCGTGTTTCTTGACATAAAAGGTGCCTTCGACTCAGTCGATCGATGTGCCCTTTGGGACTGTCTGTTGAGGAAAGGTGTGCCTGATAAATATGTAAATATTATCAAAGCGCTGTACGCGCATAGTTCGGGCAGGGTGAGGGTTTATGGCAAACTCTCGCCACCCTTCAGTATCACCAGCGGTGTGAGACAAGGATGCCCGCTGTCACCTTTCCTCTTCAACTTCGCTATTGATGAAGTAATGGAAACAGCGTTCGCTGGACACGACATAGAAGGTGTGGAGCTACTCCCTGGTGAGCGACTTCTTGACTTGGAGTATGCAGACGATATTGCCCTAATCTGTGACAGCTCCCAAACATGCCAAACAGCACTGAACCGATTAGCACTGGCTGTCAATCGTTTTGGGCTATGCTTTGCTCCATCGAAATGCAAAGTACTTCTCCAAGATTGGCAGGGACCCAACCCTGCGCTAACGCTTGGTGGTGATCTGCTAGAAGTCGTTCAGGAATTCAAGTACCTGGGCAGCTATATTAGCACCCGTGGGATTGAAGATGAGGTTACGAACCGTATAGCAAAAGCTCGAGGTGCTTTTGCCAATCTCCGCCACCTGTGGCGCAGACGCGACATTACTCTCGCCCTGAAGGGCAGAGTTTACAACGCAGCCGTCCGTTCAACTCTCCTATATGGCTGTGAAACCTGGCCCATCAGGTCGACAGACATGAAGAGACTCGTCACATTCGATCATCGCTGCCTTCGCAGCTTAGCTCATGTCTGGTGGGAACACCGCGTGAGCAATGAGCGTGTTCGGCGTCGCGTATTTGGTACAGGAAGAGCGAGTGAACCGCTCAGCACGATTATATCACGCACCAGGCTCCGATGGCTGGGCCACGTGTTGCGCATGCCAGCACACCGAATCCCACGACGTGCTTTGTTTACGCGTTGTGGGTGCGGTTGGAAGAGGAGGAGGGGAGGCCAAGTGATGACTTGGTCGAGAGAAATGAAAACCCTCACTTCGAAGTTGGCGTCGGTTGGTGCATCCCGACTGCCTGGTTGGGGTCCTAAGGACGGTGAACACGTTTGGTTGGACACACTTGCTGATATGGCTAGGTGCCGGCCCCAATGGCGTTTGTGTTGTGAGTTCCTTTGTCCATCCCCCTCCTGTTTAGCATCCCCCTCCAATCACGATCTCAATCGTTAGGCATAATATGACTTTCTTTTACGGCAGCCAGCTGTTAGCTCTCCGGAACGATGTCCATCCGTTACTGGGGACTCAGCGGGCGTGCCACTGTTTTGTTTGTTTTTTCTTTTCTTGCCTTTTGTATTGCGGCACAATAGCTGAGGTGTTTTCCACCTCAGCTAACGTGTAATGATGATGATGAAGGGTACACCATAATGCGCGATCCAATGAGCCACAAAGTTATGTGCTACCGTCTCTGCAGAAATGTCTGCGATGGGTACTGCCACGGGCCAACGAGTGAAGCGATCGATGCAAGTCAGTAGGTACTTGTATCCACTCGACGGCGGCAGTGGACCAACGGTGTCTATGTGCACATGACTGAAACGAGCATCGGGAACGGTGAAGTTGCCAAGTGGTGCCTGAGTATGCCGTTGCACTTTTGAACGTTGACATGGGAGGCAATTTCTCACCATGATCTGCACGTCTTTGTTTAGTGCTGGCCAAACAAAGCGATCAGAAATAAGCTTGCGAGTTGCACGGATGCCTGGATGTGATAGACCGTGGATTGAATCGAAGATGATTCGTCGATAGTTTGGTGGTACGACAGGTCGTGGTTTTCCTGTCGAAAGATCACACATCAGAACATCCGAACTACCAGGCAGCGGAATGGCTTTCACTTGAAGATTGGTTTCTTGCAGTTGTTGAAGAAACTGATTATCCTGATGCTGCGCTGTGGCTAGTTCTTGGAAGTCAATGGAGGAATGTTCGAATAGAGCGTTGATTTCCGCCCTTGATAAGGCATCTGCTACGGCGTTATTCGCGCCGGACAAATGCCGTATGTCAGAGGTAAATTGGGAAATGTAATCTAATTGTCTAGTTTCTCGTGGGGAAAGACGATCAGAAGCAGAACGCAGTACATACGTTAACGGCTTATGATCGGTGAATATCGTGAACGTACGTCCTTCCAAATAATGTCGGAAATGACGCACATTGAGGTAAATAGCTAGGAGTTCTCTGCTGAACGTGCTATAACGTCGTTCGGCAGGCTGCAATTTCTTAGAGAAAAAGGCAATTGGATACAATTCACCTCTCTGTCTTTGTTGAAGCACACCACCTACAGCTGCATCTGAGGCATCCACCGTTAACTGTAACGGGGCCTTAGGATCCAGATGCACAAGAAGAGTGGCAGTTGCTAGCTGGTGTTTTAGCTCGCTGAATGCGTGTTTAGCTGATTCCGTAAAGCTGAATGTTTTAGCATCTAATTTGAGTAGTTCGGTAAGTGGCTGGGCTAACTCTGAACAGTGCGGAATGAATCTTCGGTAGAAGTTAACCATGCCAACGAACCGGCGTAACTTTTTGATGGAATCAGGTATGGGATACTCAGTGATGGCTGTCACTCTGTCCGGTAGGGGTGCAATTCCAGCGGAGGAAACACGGTGACCAAGAAAGTCTACCATATCAACTCCTAACTGACTCTTGGCGGCGTTGATAACTACCCCATAATGCGCAAATCGTTCGAAAAGCTGTCGCAGATGACGCAAATGTTCGTCATGATTTCGACTTGCAACTAAGACATCGTCGATGTAGACGAAAACGAAGTCCAGCTCGCGAATGACCTGATCCATAAAACGCTGAAACGTCTGAGCTGCATTACGAAGACCAAATGGCATTCGCAAGAACTCAAATAAGCCAAAGGGAGTAGTGACGGCAGTCTTAGGTACATCTTGAGGATGAACGGGAATTTGGTGGTATGCCCGTACTAAATCTATCTTGCTGAACACTTTCTTTCCGTACAGCGAGGATGAGAAATCCTGGAGATGCGGAATGGGGTATCTGTCTGGGACGGTGATGGCGTTCAGTCCCCTATAATCCCCACATGGTCTCCAGTCTCCGGGTTTATTCTTCGGGACCATATGTAGGGGCGATGCCCACATACTGCTGGATGGACGTATTATGCCCAATTGTAACATATGATCGAACTCGGCCTTCGCTACGGAAAGTTTATCTGGCGCTAGTCGCCGAGGACGATGAAATACTGGACTGCCTGCTGTCGTTATCCTGTGAACGATCTCATGTTTGATATCACCAGGATGATATCCGGGCTTCGTTATGCTGGCAAATTCGCGCAACAGATCCAAATACATCGAAGAAGCTTGAGGCGGGACAAGCTGCGGACTCATAGACATTACGGAACTTTTAAAACCAGCCTGTGATAGTTGAGTTAGGCCATCTATGATCTGACAGCGCTTAGGATCTACGATAATGCCATAGTGCTGAAAGAAGTCGAGGCCTAGTATTGCAGTAGGCACTTTAGCTATGATGAAAATCCAAGGAAAGGATCTACGGAGACCGAGATTTAGAGTGATAGAACGTTCTCCATAGGATCGGATTTGTGTGCCATTTACTGCTTGGAGGCTGTATACCGAGCAGTGTTTCAGGTCTTCTGGACGTGGGGGAACTACACTGACTTGGGCACCCGTGTCTACGAGGAATCGCATGCCGGATGTTACGTCCCGCAAGTAGAATAGGCGACCTGGCTCGCATATGCCAGCTTGCGTCGTCGCCATTACGTGCTGGCGTGGTCGTTTCCCGAATCGGAAAACCGACACGGTTTCACGCACTTTTTCGCCTTGTTGCGGAACCTACGGTGGTACCAGCATATGCCACGGAGACGACTAACACTCCGAGTACGCCGTTGATTAGATCGAGAGTTGCTCCTTCGTCTGGTGATAGTAATGGAAGCCAGTTGTTGTTGCAAGGAGCGTACGGCTTTAACGAGTTCGTCGTCAGATGTACGAGGTGATAAGTTTGAGATCGTTGGCGTTTGTATCTCCATTATCTTATCAGCCATAAGGGCTAAATCTTTTAGTTCGGTATCCTGGTGGGCGTTAGCCAGTATCTGTTGTACATGTATAGGGAGCCGTTGCATAAATAGCTGCTTAAAAATGGAATTCTCTGGGGGTTTTCACCTACCAAAGCTTGCATGGCTCGTAATAGTTGCGTAGGAGTGCGATCGCCTAACTGCTCTTCATTAAGTAGACGCTGCACTCTTTTACGCTCACTAAGGCTAAGCTCACGAATTAACAAGTCCCTTAACTGTTGGTATGTAATGCTCGTTTTTAGGATATCCTGTGCCAGGAGCAACATTTCTGGTGGGAGTCGGGAAATAACGTGATGAACCTTTAAGGCATCCTTATGTATGCGATTGATTCCAAAACATAGCTGGGGATACTGTATCCAAAACGTTGGTAAACAGCTAGTAGATACGGCGTTAATTTCCCCTGGTTGCTGATCAGTCATATTAGCCTACATGAAATGGTGGAAGTATGACGAAATTGGATACGACACACCGAATGATGGTTATTGAGTCGAAATATCCGAACTCATGTCGGGTCAGCCACTTATCATATCCACTCATCGTCTCCACTTATAGTATTTTGGTCAACACGTATTGTGGTAACGCTTTTTAGATTGCGGAGTTCCTGAATTAATAGCCCGTCATTCTCGGATGCCAAAAGGGATTGAAAACGTGTATTCCCATGATTGTATTTTGGGGCTCCCAGATGTTGTACATGAGGTGGTCTAGAGTCAGCCGGCGATTCAAAAAATGTATGTTGGTCGATATTGAAGTGCATGAAGTGTTTTGAAAGAATAGTCGATACAGCTGGTTATGTTATCAGCTGACCGGAAGGTTGTGTAGTAAAAGCTAAAAGGTACGCTACATAACCACACCAGCCTCATGTAGCTTGCTTAGGTTTTGGAGCCCAATCTCGCTAAACGAGCAATGTTTTCGAACGCAGTCTCTTTCCGGTTATGACTCATCAGTTTGTAATTGCCTAAAATGGGTTGGAACTCGGGCCATAGAAGTAAATAACTGAGGCCCATAACACGATATTACTAAGATCAGCGAGCAACGCATGACACAGCGGAAAGGAATTCAAACTTATAATTGGGAACATGCTGTGTTTCCGCCTTGTTAAACTCAACCAACATTGAGACATTTATTCATTTGGAGGAATTATTCCGTCATTCCATACGCGAGTACCCTATCAGAAATCGAAATAATTGGGTGTTGCACCTCTTAACCCTGGCAAACCACAAAAGTTTTATTGTACTTGTTTGGACTTCTCAGGTAATGATAGCCTGAGATGTGGTGGAATTCAGATCCTAGTAAGCTAACGGCTGACGACCTAAACATTACGCTACTCAGTTCTGCGAGCAAAGCTTGTCAATGCAGAAAGGAAATCAAAGTTAAATTTCGAGAACCCGCTATGTTGTTTGCTACGCGCTACCTGCATTGGGATCTTGGTTCACTTTGAGGTATACCTCGGTCATTCCGTTCAAGAAGACTGTACCAGAAATGGAAATATTTGTGTGTTGCTCCTTCTTACTCTGGCACACTCTGACTGCGGTTTCATCCTTATTTGTCCTCATCAAGTAGCGAAACCTGAGATGGGGTGGAGCTCAAAGCTTAGAAGTTCTCAGCTGACGCTCCTAACACGATTCTACTGAGGTCCGCGAACAACGCTTGGCACAGAGTAAAGGAAGTCACAGTTGAGTTTGTGGAACCCGCTATGAGGTTGGGTTGCGACACGCCACCTCTAGTTAGACCACGGTTCACCTTGAGTTAGACCTTGATTATTCCGATCGCGAGGACGGTGTCCGAAATCGATATATTTGAATGATACTCTTCCCAACGATGGCACACCATGACCGCGTTTTCGTCTTGGTTTCAAGTAATCAGATGTCGATAGCATTACGTGGGTTATAACTCAGAGCTTAGTATTTCGCGGCTGAGGCCATGAAATCTACGTTACTGAAATCCATGAGCAGTGCATGGTACCTTGGAAAGGGATTTAAAGTTGCATCTGGAGAAACCGCCATATAGATGGTTTGCGACACGCAACCTCTATTTTGACCTAGGTCCACTTTGAAGTTTCCTTCGTTAGTTCCGATCACAACGACCGCATCCGAAATAGAAATATTTGGTCGTTGCTCCACCTAACACTGTCACATCACGACCGCGATCTCGTCCTGGTTGGTTTTATTATTTAATGGTAGCCTGAGCTGAGGTTGAAACTCAGAGTTAAGTAGTTCACGGCTAACGCCCTAAATACTTCAATACTGAGCTCCGAAATCGTTGCTTGACACAGTGGAAAAATTAAGTTTAATTCGGAAAGCCGCTGTATTGTTGGGTTTCGACAAAGCCTGCATTCTGACCTCGGTTTATTCTGAGATATAAATTTGTCTTTCCGATCGAGAGGACCGTGCCCTAAATTGAGATGGGTGTTGCCGCTCCCAAAACTAACACACCACGACCGCGCATTCGATCTAGTTTAGACTTATCAGGTAACGATATCCTGAGCTGGGGCAGAGCTCAGATCTTAGAAGTTCACGGCTAACGTCTTAAACACTAAGCTGTTGAGATCCGCAAACAACGTTTGGCACAGCGAAAAGAAATTTAAAGTTGAATTTAGAAAACCAGCTACGTGGTTGAGTTGCGACGTGCGTCCTCCATTAAGACATTGCTTCTCTTTGAGATATGCCTTTGTCATTCCGATCGAGATGACCGTATCCGAAATGGTAATAGTTGAGTGATGTTTTTTTCAACACTGGCACAACACGACCGCGGTTTCCGCCCAGTTTGGACTCATCTGGTAGCGCCAGCTTGAGCTGGGGTGGAACTCAGAGCCCAGTAGTTCACGGCTAACGACTTGAATACGATAATAATGAGACTTGCGAGAAACGCTTGCCACAGCGTAAAGTCATTCAAAGTTGCATTTGAAAAACCGCCATGTGGTTGGTTTACGAAATTCGATTTTTAAAGTTCGGTGCACTTTGTTATAACTTGTTCAAGTGCTCGCAAAGAGAGTATCCAAAATGGAAATATATAATTGTTGATCCATCTAACTCTGACAAAACACGATCGCGGTTTCATCCTGGTTTGAACTCATCAGGTGGTGATAGAAAAACCTGGGGTGGAAATCAGAGCTTAGCAGTTCACAGCTGACGCACTGAACACTAGGCTAATGAGGTCCGCGAGCAAAGCTTTGCAGAGTGGAAAGGAATTTAAACTTGAAATTGGCGAAAACCGTTGTGTAGTTGATTTTCGTGACGCAACCTCTGTTGGGACCTCGGTTACTATTATTTATCTATCGGTCATTCATTTATCAAATACCGCATCCGAAATGAAAGTTTTATGCGATTCTTCTTCTTACACTAGCACATTACTCTTCCGTTTTCTTCTGCTTTGGACTAATCAACTGGCGATAGCCTGAGCTGGGGTGGAACTCAGATCTTAATAGTTCACGACTGACGCACCTTAAATTAAGCTACTGAGATCCGTGTGCAAAGTTTGGCACAGCGGAAAAGTATACAACGTTAACATTGAGGAACTCGCTCAGTGGTTTGGTTATGGGACGCAACCTCTAGTGTAAACTCGGTCCAGTTTGAGGTATACCACGATCATTCCGATTGTGATTACTCTATCCAAAAGGGAAATATTTGGGTGTTGCACCTCCTAACGCTGGCACACCACGAATGTGTTTTCATCCTGGTTTCGACTCATCAGTTGGCGACTGTCTTAGATATAGTGAAACCCAGGCCTCAGAAGTTCACTGTCGACGCACTGAGCACTACGCTAATAAGAGCCTCGAGCAACGTTTAGCACAACGAAAGGGAATTCGAAGCTGAAATTAGAGAACCCACTGTGTGCTTGCCTTGTGAAACGCAACATGTATTGAGAACTCGGTTCACTTTGAGGTATATCTCGGTCATTTCTATTGAGAAAACCGTATTTAAATTATAAACATTTGGATGCGACTTTTCCCAACGCTGCCACACCAAGACCGCAGTTTCGTACTAGTTTCGACTTATCAGATGGCGAAATATTACGATGTGGTGAAACTCAGGTGCAAATAGTTCACGGACGACGTCCTGCACACTAGGCTACTACGATCCGTGAGCAAAGTTTGGCTCAGCGAAAAGGAATTCAAACTTGAATTTGAGGAATCCGCTGGGTGGCTGGGTTATGACACGCAACATCCGTTGAGACCTGAATTGACTTTAAGATATACCTCGGTCATTGTTATTTAGAGGACCGTATCCGAAATGGCGATATTTTGATGTTGCTCACCCCAACACTGGCACACCACGACCGTAGTTATGTCTTGGTTTGAACTCATCAGTTGTCGGTAGCATAAGCAGGGTTGGAAATCAAAGCCTAGAAGTTTAATGCTGACGATTTGATAACAGATCTGTAGGACGTGTATCCCAAGTTCATCTTTGATTTTTTCGCTCTTTCCAGGTTTGATTGCGGATCTCAATACCGTAGTTTTCAGGGCTCCAGTTGTAAACTACTACGCTCTGATTTCCAACATTTTTAGGCTATCTGCACCTGATGACTCCAAACAAGGGCGCAACCGCGGTCGTGTTGTGCCAATTCTAGAAGGTGCAACAGCCAAATATTTTTATTTTGTATTCGGTCCTCTCAATCCGAATGAAGGAGGTATACCTTAATGGAAACTGTGTTGTTACTGGAGCTTGCGTGTCGCAACCTAACCACACAGTTTGTTTCCCAAATTCAACTTTGAATTCGTTCCGCTTTGCGAAGCGTTGCCTGCGGATTTCAGTAGCTTACTTTTAAGGGCGTCAGCCGTGATCTATTAGACTCTGAGTGTCCCTTCAGCTCAGGCTATCGCCACTTGATGAGTCGAAACCAGGACGAAACCGCGGTCGTGATGTGCGAGTGTTGGGTGGAGCAACACCCAAATATTTCTATTACGGATACGTTCCAATCGATCCGAAAGAAGGAGGTATACTTCAACATGAACCGAGGTCTCAATAGAGGTTGCATTTTGTAACCTAACCACATATTGGATTTCCTTAATTCGACTTTGAATATACTATCTGTTTCAAGGTATACTGCTT